ATTAATTTTTCCAATACTTTTTCCGAAAAAGTTTCTCGTATGTCACTGTGTTTTGTAAAGATGGCCTCTAAAATTATAAAAACTATAAATATTAATATTCACAAAATGTTACACTAATATATTTGATATATAATTAACCGACTATGCAGTCATAAAATAATGACGGCTTCATTGTAAATTTCTTTTTAACTTTCTCACATGTAAATTTTGTTGCAAGATCTTTGTGTAAAAATTTGCGAATCACGAAAAGTAAATTTTTAGACAATGTGGTTCTAGTATCTATAATAAATCCTATTGTTAAAATCTGAAACAATTTTTTTGAAATACGAGTTACATAAAAACTTTATTAACTTATAGAAATGTTATATAATTATGTTTCGTTTAATTGATAATTTAAATGACATACAAAATCAATGCGGATGTTTTCGTTATGTAATAATTTATTTAGATTGTCATAATCTTCCTTTGTTTTAAGAGGCCAGTGAATATTATTCGTTTTAGTCCAATGTAGAGACAGTCTCATTTGTATCAATTTTATTCATTAAAAAGTAGTCGAATTGTTCTTTCAGCAACCGTAAATCATTTTTTAAGATTTCTTGATCATGCTTCAGTCCTTGTGTACATAATAATATGCTTTTTAAGTCTAGAAATTAAAAATAAGAAAAATAAGAAACATAAAATTTTTACAAAACTATTTAAACGTTTACTGTTAAAATAATACAAATCAAGAGAATAATTTCTAACATTTTAAAGTAATATCTGAAGACGTTGCAGTATCACAAGGTTTTAACTTAGATTTTGTAGATGTTAACTTTGTTCGTTGCTGTGACATAATTGCGAGTTTTCCTAAAATTAAATATTTTAATATATTTTTTACTCGAATATTATAAAAATAAATTGAAAAGAGCACACACAGACATGCATGCACGCGCTTATGTGTGTACCATTGATATATTGCATTAATTAAACCTTGAGAACTTATATTATTAATTTGTTGTTTGAAAGAACTTTGTGATCTTTTGGTTTATAGATTCATCTGATGAAGAAGATTCTTGTGCCTCATTATCGAATGATGATTCTAGAAACAGAAAATAATATTAGATTATGTGTTTGCTGAATGTGTTAATTGAACAATATCTCGAATTATACTTTATTGTATAGTATGTACAAGCATAACTTTTAATCGCACAATATTTACAAAGCATGCACACAGAAAAATATACTTTAATAATAAATATTTGTTTCAGGTATTTTAAAAATTTATATATTCATCAATCTATCATTAGTCCATTACAAGTATCAAATTTATTCAAAATATGTATATTCTGAATCCTAGTCAATCTAATACTCCAATCAAGATTATTAAATTAAAAGTTCAATTTGTTTATTATATAAAGTCGCTTATTCGATAAATTTTATAATATTCTATAAAAGAAAATAAATTCATGTTTTGAGTAGATAATAATAACTAATTTTTCTCAAATTTGTAATAAGTTATTAATTTAACATTATTATCAAGAAAATATTATCAGTTAAAGATAACCATTACTTAAAAAAAAATATGAATTGAGTGATCACTTTTCTTAGCAATAAAATATTTTTGTACATAAATATAAATATAACGTATATAAACATAAATATAACAATAAAATAATAAATTTTATTACCACTAAACGAAGACTTTCTATGTGTCAACAAGTTGCCTGACATATCTCGTATTGGAGATATAGATTTCTTTGTTATTTCTTTAGTTATACTTGTATTATCCTCTATGTCTGTCTGATCCGTAGTATAGATATAATCTTTGTGTTTTAATTTATCTATTTCTATTAAAGCTTCTGTATAAGTACCTGATATAAATACAAATATGAGTATTAATAAGCTTGTTTCTTTTCAGTTAAACTGTTTGCACACAGAGAGAAAAATGTTTGGTATTTGTAACTGGTATATATTACTATAATTATGATTATTACTGCTATAATAATAATAACAGTAACTATATATATATAGTTCCAACAACAAATGTATATAATTGGCAACCTAAAATGACTATAATTATAGTTGTTATAATTATAGTTGTTATAACCATAAAATAGTTGAAATTACCATAAAAATGATTCAAGTGACTATATAATTATAGTCATTTTAGGTTGCCAATTATATACATTTGTATATAATTGGTAACTATATGTATAGTTACTGTTTTTGAAAATAAGTTATTGAAAATAAGTTTCAGTCATAACAAATAACACTATATTTGATAACTTTCTTTAGCAGCAATACATTACCTGTACTTTGCAAAACTTTTATCGGATAATTGGGCCATTCATTTGGTGTACTTTTCCTAGCTTGTATTAATTTATGTAACGCGTTGCATTTTTTTTTTGTATACGGAGGTGACATAAATTTTGTCATTGATTGCTGTGTGTCGGTATTTTTGAATATCCATGAAGACGGCACACAATCA